CCCACTCTGTAACAAAGGCAACAACATTTGGATTACCTCCTCAGTACACTATTTGGTGACAGTTATCTGACACAACAAACTGTACTATAATCAGGGAGACTCTATAGTATCCCTGCTATAATGGACGACGGTGTGACTGACAGAAGGAGAGCATCGCTGCCCGTGTCAGCTGTTTGTGACTAAATATTGCGTTGGACGTCAAGTTAATTTCTTGGTTGTTTCATATACCTGATAACCGACACTGTTTCCTTTCAAACTTCTCTTTTAACTCCGTCTCCATCTCGTAAACAGTCGTAGCTGGGCTTCAGAGTGAATGGCGCAACCGTCGTATCCCTGCAGGTGCGCGGTACCACGCAGAGCCGGTAATAGCGCAATAATCGCAGTATCAATAAATCTGTTCATATTTCCACAAGAAATATTTACATTTTACTTTGTTTGTAATAAAAACAAAGCATAAATACTTCCACGCAGATATCCAGTGCGCCGCTCTCCACGCCTCAAACGCCATCATACCGTATTAACATAAAAACGAAACTGTTTTTTCAGTTCGATTATGTTTGTTTCCAGTTACACGCGACAATTAAGTATCGATAATATTCCACAATAAATCTCCGGTGCTTTTGTTAGCAATTACAACAAGCGTCTGATCGCGGTTGGGACTGACCAGTTCTACCTGTCTGGGGCGACGGGATTCTACGTGTAACGAACCATGCACCGAAATCCCATTAAGTCAATCGAAGGAACGAACAATGCGGCTCTTCATGGATTATTAAAGATCGATCGGTGGTATTTGACTTTAATATACCTCTTTGTAATACCTTAAAACCGCCACTACAACGCCGGTATTTTCCTAACGACTAATAACAAACGATCAATTTTCTCTACGAGCTTTACATGACTCTGTGGGGACACACTATGCAGTGATCTGCTACATTCCGGCAGTTTTCGGACCGGCAGCCCCTTCCGCCGTTATCAACGTCGCTTGATAAGCCGGGGGAGGTGAGGGGTGGGAGGGGGTGCAGATAACAGGATGGAGGGATGTGTGAGTATGTGACACAAAACTTCAAGAATGTCTATTTGGCTGGGAGAGAAGCCATGTCAGAAACAAGCCTTGAATATGGTGTCAGTTTAGAAATGTGTAGAAACATGACATGATGATTGATTTTCGACGTAACTAAAACGGACTGTGTCAATGATACACTTCTTCTGTGTTTCTTTTCAACGCTGACAATGTCCGGCAGTATCTCGGCTGCAGGGGTCTCGGGTCTCACATGTTATAAACCATATACTCCCGTTGAAGGCTGACTATGTCCGACAGTATCTCGGCTGAAGGGGCCTCGGGTCTCACTCTCGGCAGTGTTATAAACCATAATCCCGTTCAAGGCTGACTGTGTCCGGCAGTATCTCGGCTGAAGGGGTCTCGGGTCTCACACATTCACGCAGTGTTATTCAATATAGTTCATCACCCCAATAACTGCATGCATAGCATCATTTAAGTACGAATCCCTCCGTTGTTGAATCAGTTTTAAAGTTACGTTTCTATTAAAGCTATATCGCAATACTGTACTTAAGATATAGCTGTATTTCAGAAAACCATGTTTTGTGAAGTTTAGAAATATTTGGTTACTGTAACCTGAAGGTGTCGTGGGTACGACTGTGTCAACATGCCCCCTTATGAATACGACGTAACCTACTTAACATGTTCAGGATGCCGTTAACGTCGATGTTTTAGTAACGTTGACAGCGATGCCGTGAACTCTGATTAAAAAGAAACATCATCCAAACAAATAACATAGTGCATCATCTGTATTACAGTCTCACTACTGCCTGAAAACATCGGTATCTTGTCACAGAATTCCTGACAGTTTGTCAAGGTCTATAGAAATCACTGCAGCACATGTCGCCGTGTGACGTTACCGGAAGATAGCACCATGTCGGTAATGTAAAGGCCACATCGCCGCTCCTGCTTGCAGCGTATCACAGATTGTGCATCCTCTTGTGGATTATGATGATTATGTAGATTATGTTGTACAGATCCCAACATTGTTGTATGTACGCCGCGATGGTCTGTGTGTAGTGTACGGACGCCCCACGGTGATAGATGCACTCTGTGCCAGGTTGTGTTGTACACGGACCCCTAAACTGTTGTATACAGGATGTACCGTGCAGTAGACATTGTACAAAGACAACAACAATGTCGTTTACACGCTGTACGTGAATGTGTTGTATACACGCTGTATCGGACTGTCTGTTGTACAGACCCCTCCACTGTTGTATACACGCTGTATCGGACTGTCTGTGTTGTACAAATACCCCTACACTGTTGTATACACACTGTTGTATACACGCTGTATCGGACTGTCTGTGTTGTACAGAGACCCCTTCACTGTTGTATACACGCTGTATCGGACTGTCTGTGTTGTACAGAGACTCCGTCACTGTTGTATACACGCCGTATCGGACTGTCTGTGTTGTACAGAGACACCTTCACTGTTGTATACATACTGTATCGGACTGTCTGTGTTGTACAGAAACCCCCTTCACTGTTGTATACACGCTGTATCGGACTGTCTTTGTTGTAGAAAGACCCCTACACTGTTGTATACACGCTGTATCGGACTGTCTGTGTTGTACAGAGACCCCTTCACTGTTGTATACACGCTGTATCGGACTGTCTGTGTTGTACAGAGACCCCTTCACTGTTGTATAAACGTTGTATCGGACTGTCTGTGTTGTACAGAGACCCTTACACTATTGTATACACGCTGTATCGGACTGTCTGTGTTGTACAGAGACACTATTGTATACCCTATCACTGCTGTACTGCTGTATACACGCTGTATCGGACTGTCCGTGTTGTACAAAGACCCTACACTGTTGTATACACGCTGTATCGGACTGTCTCTGTTGTACAGAGACCCTACACTGCTCTGCTGTTGTATACACGCTGTATCGGACTGTCTGTGTTGTACAAAGACCCCTACACTGTTGTATACACGCTGTATCGGACTGTCTGCGTTGTACACAGACCCTTACACTATTGTATACACGCTGTATCGGACTGTCCGTGTTGTACAGAGACCCCTACACTGCTGTATACACGCTGTATCGGACTGTCCGTGTTGTACAAAGACCCCTACACTGTTGTATACACGCTGTATCGGACTGTCTCTGTTGTACAGATACCCTACACTGCTGTATACACGCTGTATCGGACTGTCTGTGTTGTACAAAGACCCCTACACTGTTGTATACACGCTGTATCGGACTGTCTGCGTTGTACAGAGACCCTTACACTATTGTATACACGCTGCATCGGACTGTCTCTGTTGAAATAGATTACAGTTTCTGAAAATAAAGAAAGTCTCTGGGCATTTTTCATTATATTTTATTATTATCAATTAGGAACCGTTTTTTATGTTGTTGTTTTTCATTTAGAGTCTAGATGTAAGTCTAGAGATGGCCTAGAATGTCTGTACAGGATTTAATCTGGATCCTCACAGTAAGTGAGTCCAAGTGCTTATTTGAAAACGTGTGCGGTAGTGTATAATGTACTTTCATAATCTGACAGCGGTGTTCGCCATGTTTAGATATGCATACCATGCTTCTGCGTGGCCGTGTGCATGTTTATATCCAGTTGTGCATGTGAGGCAATGCTGCAATGCATGACACAACGGCAGGCACAACCGTGATTGTTACTGGACTCTGAGGCCATGAATCCGGTCGACATCGACGAGAGTCAATACAGCACATCTCGGCAACTCGCACGCCCAAAGCACCTAATAACTCGAATTATTTCTAAGTCGATATATATCGACGATTAACTTCACATGCGTCAGATTCATTATCGCCTCTATGTTTTAATACAGACATGACGTCGCGTAATATATGACTCGTCGCTCTAACTGGTGGACCGACCAACTATTTAAGTATTATTGCGCATGAGTTAAACTGAAGTGCGCCTTTAAATAGACAGTGGAAGTAATGGTTCAGTAGGTTTCAATAAAAGTGTCAGAGGAATCTAACTATTCCCCTGCAGTGGAGAGGATCCTATGAAACTAAACTACAGCGGAGTAATGACGTTCCAGGTGAGCGAGTTAAATTACCCAAATCCGCCAAGCTTGCTCATTCACCGTCCTAGTATAGCCGCGAGGTGGGGCGTCATTGCCCCGCTGCACTTCAAACGTTGTCTTCGTTCCACATGAAGCTTTTGTATTTACAAGTTATCAATTTGAACGTGTACAATCGTCCATTTATAGACATCAAGCTCAGCCCTGCCAAATGATGTTCCGTGGAGCTCCGTGGCTTATGGTTATATACAGACAGCCGCCATACAGCTGGAATATTGCTGAGTGCGGCGTTAAACAACAAACCAAACTCAATTGTATGCATGGAATCTTTACAGTGCTTGAAGCGGACAGTGGACGGCATCGTAGTTGCCGACGTCAGACGACCACCCTTTTTAACACAATTTTTAATACAATATCACTTTGAACTCTTTGAAGAAATTTTATGTTCCAATTTCTAAAATAAAACTATAATAAAATCGGCTTGATAATTATCAGCCGCGAGATTTTATCGATGAACTGATTGACGTGTTTTTTTGTTTCAATCATAAACTTATGCACTTCACTAATATAATCAACAGTGTCCACGCGGGGGAAATCTTGACACAAGCCCCGTAAACTAATCAAGCACATAGGGAACACGACCTGCTACACACACAAGTACACAACAAGTACATGAATTAGATTCCAGTTTATATCGGCCTAAACGAGAGGAATCGCTGGAGAATGTGCACAAGTTTTTTTTAACAATGAAAGGATACATGCGTGCATACCGTCTCAGCCTTGATAAGTCGGCAGGTTGTGGTGCAGCGAGATCAGCCAGTCCGGTCCGAGAACTCCAGGCGATTGGGGAACAAGTAGGTGCTTATTATTTAGGTGCATAAGCGAGCGTTCAACTAGGAGCGACAAAACATTTGCGCATGACAGCTCTAGCCTTTGAACTCTGGTGGCAAGCCTCGATGTGGTGGCGCGCGTTGTGAACGTACCGTCATTTAGGATCTACTCTCTCAGCTGTGGAGAGAGTGAACGAAGAAGGGGGTAGGTCGCTCTGTCTATCAGCGTCCACGATGTGTATGGGATAAGCGTTCTGTCTTTTAAGACGCTGAGCGAGTTGTCGTGATACTGTGGAAAGTTTGAGCGGTTACTTCTTAGGGAGTTGTGTGGGATATACCCGTGCTATAAGCTTCCAGGCAATAGGTGCTCGTTTTACGTGACCCTCCTCCGAAATCGGGAGTACTGGGGTATTTCGGAGTTGAGGAAGCGCACGTGAGTTTGTGAGCGTCTTAAAGTTTATTTTTTGGATTAACAAAGATTTGCCCCAACCATGGAGGGGCGCTACTTGTCTGTGATGTTCCTGATCGTGACATGTGTCATCTGTATTGTCCTATCCGAGGGAGCTGACAAGCCAGTGGAGATCGAACAGAATAAGATTCGTGTGACGGACCATCAGCGTGTTCGGACAGACACCAGAAGCCGACAAAACGCCGACAGAAGGAGAACGGCGTATAATACACGAGCTAGACAACATTTAGAACGCCAGAGACAACTCCGGCAACGACAGTTAGCTCGGCAACGTCAAGATTACAGATATAAACAAAGATTAGGGTCGAGGAATCGTCAAGCTGACGCACGTCGTCAGCAACAACAGAAGCAGCAGCAACAACAGCAAGATGCTCGGCAAAGACCAGCTTACAAGTACAACCCCTTAAAACCCCCGTCAAGACAAACCATACCGAGACAAAGGCCTGTAAGACTTCCGGTCAGACAAAATCAGCCAAGACAAGCCCCAGTTAGACTAAGTCAGCCAAGACAACAATATAATCCAAGACAAAATTATAATCAGAGGCAGCAACAGGGCTATGTTGCTCGCCTCCCGCAACCTTCTCCTTACAGACAGCAGCTCCGTGACGCCTCATCCACGAAGGAAACCAAGGGTTTGCCTATGCCAGATCCGAACACAGGATTCGTGCTGCAAACGGGGATGTAAGTAGCACACTTTCTGTACATCCATCACATGTATTACAGTAGGAAATAAGGTTATAAGTCGCAATATATTCATTAGATTTTCACGCTCAATGTTTCATCAAAATATTACTTGAGACATGAATCCTTTTGTAATTCATGTTCGTAAAAACTCCGGTGACATTCCACACTTCAACTCCGCTTGTCTAGAGAAGAGGGAGTGTTGGGTTGGGGTGAGAATGGCTTTCACAGAGGAAGGCAAGTGCCTGTGAAATTCGCCTGACGGGCTTGAAAATCTGACAATGAATATATTATGACATATTATTATCTAATGCCGGTTCAAGTTGACACCGTGGCTATTCACACATCGTAACAGTCTTATCAAAGAAAGTGCAAGGCGACATATGTTCAGCAGGGCCGCCCGTCCTGCTAATGATTTAATAAACAGAGACTACCTTATAGAATAGTGTTTAATATCGACACCATATTTAAACACACATTACAGACATGTGATGAAAGATTGTGTCGCCTAATACACCAGGATATGCGCCCAACATTACCCCGAGATAAACCGCCGCTCTGACAGCCTACGTATAATAATTACATCAAACATCGATAAATGAAAATGAAAATAGAATTAGAATTCCCCTTACCACCACAAGTGTCACAAACCCTACTTCCCCTTCCCACATATAATATCTAATCTTCCGCCCTGTCCCCTCAATTATTCAGTGTTCTGTGATCGCACGCCCCAGGACAAGCCAGAAGTATGCGGTGTGCCTCAACGCGCTATATACACGACTGACATAGTTTACAAGTCTTATTATTCAACCTTTTTTCGCCCATCTGACAGTGTAAGCTTCAATGTGAAGGATTTCTTTCAAGTTTAAATTGACCTGTATTGAAAGTTGGGAGCTTTCACGCCGACTTAAACTCGTGTCCCTTCCATGAGGTACGCGGGGGTTTGGTCGCCCATTTAATTCATATAGGTGATAGCTGCCCCACAAGACACACACAGCCATTACTTGAATGTTCAGTGTAAATCATAACTTGACACGTAGGCTTGTCTATTTGCATCTAGCCACTCAAGTATGAAAATGAGAGCAAAATTCTCTTTAAGAGGGTTCGCTCTGAAAGGTTTGACTTCATCTTACCAATCTATGTAACGTCAATTCACGCACCATGAACATCGGCAAAACATAACTTCATAAACATGATATGTAGCAAATCGTTGATATGCCGTATAATTTGTATTCACCGGGCCGATCCAGTGGAAGCTATCTGGGAACAGTGGTCGACAGTGGCAAAAAACGGACGGGCGCTCTACCGACACACTCTGCCACCTCACAAACAGGGTTCCCCGACTAAAACACGCACCTGTTTAAATCTATCTCATTATTTCGCACGGTTCTCATCGTGGCTAAATGAAAACATTCAATCGAATCAGAACCCTTTTAAATCTGAAGCTAGATTTTACTATTTTAGCCATGTAGCCCTCATACCTGGGTATACATAACTTACAATACTATCTCGTCCCTTCTGCTGGTATATAAGTCACCGCGGCCTGGAATGTGACGATAATCAGACGGGTGACACAGATACCCGTCCACCCCGTGTAAATGACGTTAAATAATTTCTGATATTTCATGTAAACCCGGTTTTATGATAGCGACAACTCGCAACTCGCGGCCCCAGCCACTCAACACACGCGGCAGATCCTGCCGTCTACTGAATGAATGAAGCTGTTGACATTTCGGCCTCTCGTGTTGACCTCGCGTTCAGCGTTTAACTGTCATGTGATTTCCACATTATTACAACTTGTGAACTGCCGATTTTCATCTGTACTCTACACAACTATTGCCCTGGTATTGTGTCGAGATTAAATGGGGGATGTACTTGGCGTTATGAACACCCTAAACACTCAACAGTCACCCCTCCACCGTCCCTCACAACGACTGCCGTGTAGCAGGTTCTTGTGGCAACCTGCACGGGCAGTGATTATACTTATTAATGAGCGGGAGGGTAGGGGTTGGGAGCCCCGGGACGCTGGTCTGTGGGGAGCTGCAGTCTATGAATGTAACACCGTGTCCTCACGAGGCCCACAGACGGAACTATCATCAGGAGGCTTCTCAATTTACAAACCCCCGTGACAACTTGGTATAAATTTTAATTATTTTCTAAAGGTGGTGACGTATTAGTGATTTATCCTGTCTTCCCCCACCCCCACCCCCACCCCCAGACCAGACCTGCAGGGGGGTGGTTGTTAAGGGGGAGTAATGACTCGCTGTGCTCAACAAAACATATGTCCTTGCTGGGCAAGTTTAATATCTTGTTAAATACCATGGCAGAAAAAGTCCAGCTGAATGCCATGTGAAGAATTGAGTCTAAAATCATGAGGAACGCCAGATTGTGATACATCACGCTGAAGTCATCTTTGAATAGGAAAGTAACTCACAGGCAACACGCATGTGAAAACCTGAGTTGAATTTAAGTGGAAACCGTTGCTATGTTGCGTGTCGAATTTAAAATTCAAATATTCTGCATAATACCGTGAGGTATTCAGTACAATATTTAATAATGTGTCCCAAACTCATGATGAATACCATCAGGTCTAAAATACAAAATAGTTGCAGGATATCATGCGAAATTATATACATACCGAGCCAGACTCTCATATAGATCTCAGAACATGTATATTATCAAATATTTACCTCTATTCCACGGTCAACTACGGATAATACGAACTCAAAATATTAGTTCGATATAACCGTAATTCGGTAGATGTATTTCGATTTAAATATACATTAACTGATCGGGACAAAAAAAACAATACATCCGTCAGTTCGTTATAAACGTGTTCGGTATAAACGTTGTTTATTGTATTATTTGTAAAGTCTAGATCCACGGTTCATTAATTGCTCTCTGTCGTTACTCCCGCTCTTTAATTTGTATGAAAGGACGGTGGGATAGTCTAGCGGTTAAAGCGTTCGCTCGTCACGTCGAAGACCCGGGTTCGATTCCCCACATGGGTACAATGTGTGAAGCCCAATTCTGGTGTCCCCCACCGTGATATTGCTGGAATATTGCTAAAAGCGGCGTAAAACCATACTCACTCACTAATTTGTCTGAAAAGCCGTGCTACCCTATGATTACACAATGTCATTTAGAAGCAGTGCTACCCCATTGTGTATTCAACATCGCACAGCATTATTATAAACGTGATTTTATTATCGAATATCACAAATAATACCATATTCGATACCATGTTGAAACTCTTGTTGAATGCAATGTTGAAATCATGTTAAACATCAGGTTGAATTCCGTGCGGAAACCCTTATGGAGTATATTAAATACCATGTCGACTTTTATTTTCGGAAACGACGCTTAATACAATATATATATATATGCCTGTGATAAGTGTTTAAAAAATCTTTTCTCTATTTTCTTCTAATTTTACTACATCTTTTTACAAGTTAATGAGTGGACATAGGTATATGCCGCTTCTAACGAAATATCACGGCGGGGGACAAAAGATTGATTGATTGATTGATGTAAAACGCCGCACTCAGCAATAGTCCAGTTATATGGCGCTGGTCTGTAAATAATCGAGTCTGGACCGGACAATCCAGTGATGAACATCATGAGCATCGTTCTGCGCAATTGGGATTCGATGACATGTGTCAACCAAATCAGCGAGTCTGACCACCCGACCCCGTTAGTCGTCTCTTACGGCAAGCATGGGTAGGGGACAAAAGACATGAGTTTCGCACATTATGACCATGCTGGGAACTAAACCCGGACCTCCGATGTACCGAGAGAACGTTTTAATCACTAGGCTAACCTACTGCTCTTTAAATCACACCAAACGTTATATACCACAATGGCAATGGAAAGAACATCATGTTTTGGAGTTTATAAGAAACCACAATAGGTTTTCGTGTCACACATTAGTACCCTACAGAATTCCCGAACATTAAGATTTCCCTCTACCTGCTGTGTGTAACACAATTAAGCAGGGTTAAGAGACACTCCATGGCATGTGTTACACATGGGTAAACACATTCAACAGGCTATTATGTACAGGCGTATAAACACGAATTTAGTTTCGATTGTCCCAATAGTTGTCCTATATCCCCCGTGAAACGTGGACGCCAGGGACATACCTTCCCAGTGCGACAGGGAGTGTGGTGGGAAAAATAATGTTTTGTGATCCCTTTAATCCTTAGGCCAACACACGGCCATACGTTAAGCACATACAACAAGAACTCAAAGAAAACCGAAACAACCTGACGCAGACACCTCTGGACTGAAAGCCTGCTCCGTCGTGTTAACGTAGGGTTTGTGCATACGATGACGAATAGTTAATAATAATATATATCAGCAAAAGTAACAGTAAACTGACTGTTTATGGCAAACAAACGCGAAATTGTTCCTGAATGCTGTCTATTCACTTTTATTTCTAGATGTGTCCGGTCATTGTAAACGGGGCCTTTTTGTCACGATTCTGATGATGCTTAATGGGCCATTTCCGTGGTGTTTGATCATTGCTAACGGAGTGTTTCTATCATGTATTTGATCATTTGTTACGTGGTGTTTCTGTCACGTGTCGGATGATTGTTAACGGCGTATTTCTATCTTGTGTTTGATCGAAATTTTAAATTGGGTATTTCGAACTCGTTCTTGATCCTTGTAGTGTGGCTTTCTTGTTTGCATCTGTTAATTGTTAACCGGGTATTTCAATCATGTGGCTGATGATTGTTAACCGGGTATTTAAATCATGGGGCTGATGATTGTTAACCGGGTATTTCAATCATGTGGCTGATGATTGTTAACCGGGTATTTCTATCACGTGTTTCATTGTTGTTAACGGGTTATTTCATCGATGTTTGATCATTGCTAAAGGGTTATTTCTATCACGCGTTTGATTATTGTTAACGGGTTATTTCTATCACGCGTTTGATTATTATTAACGGGTTATTTCTATCACGTGTTTGATCATTGTTAACGGGTTATTTCTATCA